TCAAAGTGTATGACATCTCAGGAAAAAAAAGCACCGAAATAAAGCACCGAAATGTGCGCTGCTTTTCGGTCTGGTTACTACCGTTTATGTCAGAACCAGTGCCATCATGGCACCGGATACCGGTACCCATCCCTACTCCCAGACATGCCCATAAACGCATGGTGTTACTATAGCAATGATATAGGTATATGACATTTTTATATCATATAAAAATGATCTCTGTTAACTCTGTTACTGCAGATTCTCCATTCAAGATAACCCTTGTTTATCATATTCTGATCCTTGGTGCAGCCACTCATTTCATCCTCCATCTGAAACAAGCTGTTTTATGTCCTCTCACTTTAAAGCAGTGATTTTCATAATGTGAGGTGCAATCATCTCAGAAACATGAAGTGAAATAGATCTTTGTAATTTAATTTATTAAATTATTTATTTATTTATTTAAACATGCTACTGTGATTAATTTCATTTAGCCTTTGAATAGGGATGTACCAGAAAAAGTTTGAAAACCACACCTTCAAGCTAGCCTTCTTCTGATTGGTTGCCCTTCATAAACATAAGATTTGAACCGTAGGTGGTTTGAGTTTCTGGGTTCCTGGCCTGAGCTGACTATATTAGGCATATCCCCATTTTTTTTGGTGTCATAGGGGGGAGGGATAATAAACATTATCCACCGCTGTAACTGTACATATCTGACAGAAAATAAGAGGAAACATGATCACTGCACACTACCATTAAACTGCTCTTTTATGATTGTGACATGCTAGCTTTCCCTGGCCAAGCTAACGCTGAGCCTTGTTTTCATTTCCTTACTCAAAGAAGGGCTAAACATGGCTTATTTAAAGCTTTGCTAATCTGTGGATTTGCAGGTTACTCCTGTTTGTGCGCCATCTACTCTCAGCGTCTTAAAATGTCGCTCCCATAAGTGTTCTTTGTCTAATTTTGTTTTTCAATGGTGGTTGGAAAACGGCTCGTTACTTCCACCTTCTGGCAGTAGTAAAGCACAACATCCTCCCAGCTGCTGTTAAATCTGAAAGAATTAACTCCAGGCACACATGGTTACATAATTCAGTTTTGTTTCTTCCCGCGCGCTTGCCCATCCTTACTAATAATGCCTTTGAAAAACGCAGTTCAGCATCACCACAGACTAACATTATGAAGCCTGTGGTGATGTGTTTATTGGATTGCCGTTGCATTTAACTGCATTAGTTTAAGATAAACAGAGCCTGTACTATTAAGAGGCCTTTAAATAAATCTATTACTTAGTTCGATTGCGGCAGCAGTGTTTCATTTCCATCTTCTCCACAGATGAGTGTGGGTCAGCGGGCAAAGCTTATTTGCTCACCAGACTACGCCTACGGCAGCAAAGGTCACCCAGGGATCATCCCACCAAATGCCACTCTCACCTTTGATGTGGAGCTGATTGGTCTGGAGGCCTGAAACTTGTGCACTCAACTTTAATTCCACTCAGATTTTCAGGGTGAGACGTGTTTAATAATGTGAATAATCAACATGATTAGATTTGTAACACCCGGCGCAATTAGGGAAACATATGTATTAATAATCCTAAACAGTACTATTGCTCCCCACATGCTTACAGTGACTATACAGTTATCTTTTATTGGTTTTGTCCAGAGATTAAATAGTATGGATATAACAAGCTTTAGTGTCAGTAATCCACTCTTCCTCTTCTTAATCACATCTCTGAGCTTTTTTTTTTTCCCTCTTCCCCCTCACTGCAGGTTGACTCCTATCTCGGGAACATGGAGGAAAAAGGTTAACAGATGATTCCTGCTCTTGATTCCTGCATAGGACCTATGTCTGTTGTTACACTATTTCACTCTCCTTTACATTTATATACAAGTTCTGTTTTGTCACTTGCTTTAAAATGTTATCCCTTATATTATACTTTAGATTCCAGACAGTAATAAGTCATAGGCCATCTTATCACATGTATTTTGTCATATACTGCTTTGTATTTTTATGGTCATATTTTTATTTTTTTTTACTTCAAATTGACTTTATTGCCGCTGTTTGACTGACTAAATGCGTCTGCCACCAGGACCATGTTTTAAGTGTCATAAATACTGAATGAGTCTCATTCCTGTGGCTTTGTGGCCTTTACAATAAAATCGTATTGATTGCGGGTAATGAATTGTCTTGATTCAAAATAAGAATAAATTGTTTGACACAATATTTTTATGAATTACTTTTGTTATGTACTCTAAAATACAAAAATGCCCAGAGCATGTCATAATCAGGGGATCAAAAATCAAACGTTTTCCTGAAGAG